GGAGGATCGCGCCGCATCGCCGATCTCGCCGATGCGCAATCGACTTCGGCGATACATCGCCGCCCTCGGCGTGGAAAAAATGGGCCTCCGCATCGAGCCGCATTGGCGATGAATCGGCGATGCGGCGAGATCCTCCAACCCCGTCTGCTCCGACCGCACCTGGGAAGCCTAGAGACGTTCAACCTTGACCGCCCGCGGCCAGATCGCTGCCGCGTCGGCGCGACGCGAGCCTACCCCCGACGATGCGACGCCCTGCTTTTCATTATCAAGACGCGGCCCCCCAAGCCCCGACCCTGTGCCCGGGGCCGGCCACAGGCCTCGCTCGTGCTTTTTTCGACGGCCCCGAGGCCCGGCGAGGGCCCGCCGAGGCCGACAAGGTGAAGAAGCCCTCGGCCCTCGGCCCTGCTTCTGACGGGACGCGAGCGCCCCTGGGAACGCACACGCCCGCCGTGCGGCAGCACCCGAGGGGCCCCCGAGGGCGCGGCGCGCGGCGCGCAGGGCGCCGTCCTCCCAGCCAGGCCCTGGGCGCCGCGCCGGCTGGCCCGCCAGTGGCGCGCGGACGCCGCGGCGGCCCGCAGCCTCGGCATCTTCGGGGCGGCGGGGGGATGGCCCTCGCAAGCGGCGGCCGCATCCCGTATCCGCGCCCTCGCGGCGTCGCGGCCTGCATTCCGGAGCGCGATCCCGCGGATGCGCGGTCGCACGGATACGTTCTGCGCGGGGAATCCGCGAAAAAGCACCCCGTGTCCGCGGGGTCGCGGACCAGGGGCCCAGCCCGCGAGGCCGCGGATACGGATGTGTGGTTTCGCCCAGAGGGCCAGCATCCAGAATCCTCCTCCACCTGAAGTGAACTCGTGAAGTGTGGATCACTTTTCCAGCGCAGCACCTGAAACATTCAAGCAGACATGGTGACGGACAGATCACCGCACGACGCGACCGCTCCGTCTGTTAGGGTCCGCCCGCCCGACCCGCCCGCCCGCCCTGCCGGTTAGGTTCTGCCCGCCCGACCTGCCCGCCTAGGGTCGTCCTCACCGTCGTCGCCCTCGTCAGCCTCATCGTCGCTGTCGTAGTCGTCGTCGCCATCGGCCATGCCGTCGTCGTCGTCGTCCTCCTCCTCCTGGACGTAATCGTAGTCCTCGTCGCCCTCGTCGTCCTCGGCGTCCTCGTCGTCGTTGTGGACCCCTCCGTCGTCGTCGTCGTCGTCGTCATCGTCGTCGTCGTCGTTCTCGCCCTTGCCGTCTGCGTCGTAGTCCTCGTCCTCGTCATCGCCGTCGACCTCCTCGTTGTCGTCGTCCTCGCTGCACTCGTCGCCATTTCCAACGTAATTCTTCGTCGTGATCGTCGCTCTCGTCGCCGTCTGCGCTATCGTCGTCGTATGCGTCGTCGTCGCCATCGCCCTCGGTGTCGGAGTCCACCTGGTCGGTGATTCAAAGACGGGGTACTGAGGGATGGGGTTCTAAGGATGGGAAGCTATCCAAGGGTGAACTCGCGTTGTTTGAGGCACCTCGCCCTTCGGACCCCATCCCCCAAGACCCCATACTTGAACCACCCGACTGGATGAATCGCACACTGCTTGAATGTCCAGACGGGCCCAGCCCGCCCGCTCCCTCGGGGGCCCGCCCAGGAAGGCCCGCCCGCCCGACCCGCCCGACCCGCACGCCGTCAGGGCCCGCCCGCTCGACCGGGCCGTCGGGGTCCGCCCGCCCGGCCGCCCGCGAGGGTCGTCGCAGTCGCTGCCCTTGGTCGGCGGCTTCTTATTCGGCGTGTCGACGGTGGGCGGCAAGGGGGGGGGGAGGAAGGGCGGGCGGGGTCTGGCTCCGGACCTCTTCTTGATGCGATGGCTTGCAGGCGCCAGAAGCAAGCAAGACCTACTCCGCGGGGGGGAAGGGAGGGAGTGCGCCGGTCCGCGCCGATCGGCAAAACGAGGGATAAGAAAACGATAACCTTGTCATCGTCGGCCTTGCCAGCATGTTTGCCCAAGAGGGCCCTGAGTGGCCGAAACATCGCTCCAAGACGCTGAACATGTTCCTCAGACGGCTCCAGAAGCCTCCAACGTACCCTCCCGACACCTCCAAAAAGTGGAAATATGTCCCCTTCCCTTGGGAAAAATGCATGTTTTGCATTTTCGCTTCGTCGGCCTTCGCAGTGTCCAACACAACGGTCCAAGAGACCTCCAAAACAGGCCCAGAGGCTCTCAAGAAGGCCCCAAGTCGGCCCAAGAAGGGCCCAAGACGGCCCGGGAGGCCCCCAAGACAGCCCAAGCGGGCCCCAGGACGGGCCCAAGAAGCGCCCATGAGGGCTCCATGACGGCCCCAGGAGAGCCCAAGAGGCGCCCAAGAGGCACCAAAACGGCCCTAGGAGTCCCCAAGAACCCCGAGAGGCTCCAAGTGGCCCTCAAGAGGCCCCCAAAAGGCGCCCAAAAGCGCTCCCGAAGGCCTAAAAATTACCGCCTACAAACCCCCAGGAGGCCTCCAGGATGCCTCCTGCATGCCCCCCAAGAAGC